ATGACTTTGTTTTGCTTTCTTGCTTCCAATTCTGACTCATCTTAGCACCATACTATGAGCCTTATGAGCTAGTCTATGCTATCTTTCTGGCCTGAGGTTAGCGCTGTCCTAAAATAACAACTGCAAGGTTCGGCTATCATGAGGGGTGTCTGCCATGAGGAATTACATACTAATCATCTGTTCCAGGCTGTGGCATCTTCTTTAAGTTTAAGTTGGATTAACTCCAGATTTCTTCCCATCTGCCAAGTTCTGCTTTTTCACACAGTATCACAGTATGTTAGAGATTGGAAGGGACCTCAAAAGATCATCTAGTCCAATCCCCCTGCCGGAGCAGGAACACCTAGATAAGGTTACACAGGAACGTGTCCAGGCGGGTTTTGAATGTCTCCAGAGAAGGAGACTCCACAACCTCCCTGGGCAGCCTGTTCCAGTGTTCTGTCACCCTCACTGAGAAGTTTCTTCTCAAGTTTAAGTGGAACCTCTTGTGTTCCAGTTTGTACCCATTGCCCCTTGTCCTATCATTGTTTGCCACTGAGAAGAGCCTGGCTCCATCCTCGTGACACTCCCCCTTTATATATTTATATACACTAATAAGGTCACCCCTCAATCTCCTCTTCTCCAAACTATAGAGACCCAGCTCCCTCAGTCTTTCCTCATAAGGGAGATGCTCCACTCCCTTCATCATCTTAGTTGCCCTGCGCTGGACTCTCTCCAGCAGGTCCCTGTCCTTCTTAAACTGAGGGGCCCAGAACTGGACACAATATTCCAGATGAGGTCTCACCAGGGCAGAGTAGAGGGGAAGGAGGACCTCTCTCGACCTACTAACCACCCCCCTTCTAATACACCCCAGGATGCCATTTGCCTTCTTGGCCACAAGGGCACAGTGTCGGCTCATGGTCACCCTGTCGTCCACTAGGACCCCCAGGTCCCTCTCCCCTACACTGCTCTCTAACAGGTCGTTCCCCAACCTATACTGGAACCTGGGGTTGTTCCTGCCCAGATGCAGGACTCTACACTTTCCCTTGTTATATTTCATCAAGTTATTCCCCGCCCAACTCTCCAGCCTGTCCAGGTCCCTCTGGATGGCAGCACAGCCTTCTGGCGTGTCGGCCACCCCTCCCAGCTTAGTGTCATCAGCAAACTTGCTGATAGTACACTCAATTCCCTCATCTAAATCATTGATGAATATATTAAATAATACTGGTCCCAGTATGGACCCTTGAGGCACTCCACTAGATACAGGCCTCCAACTAGACTCCGCCCCATAGACTACAACTCTCTGGCTTCTCTCCTTCAGCCAGTTCACAGTCCACCTCACTACCCGATCATCCAGACCACACTTCCTCAATTTAGCTGCGAGGATGCTGTGGGAGACTGTGTCAAACGCTTTGCTGAAGTCAAGGTAGACCACATCCACCGCTCTGCCATCATCCATCCACCGTGTTATTTCCTCATAAAAGGCTATGACATTGGTCAAGCATGACTTCCCCTTGGTGAAGCCATGTTGACTGCCCCTCATAATCCTCTTATCCTTGATATGCCTTAAGATGGCACCAAGGACAAGGTGTTCCATCACTTTCCCAGGAATGGAGGTGAGGCTGACCGGTCTATAGTTACCCGGGTCCTCCTTCTTGCCCTTTTTGAAGACAGGAGTGACATTTGCTTTCCTCCAGTCCTCAGGCACCTCTCCCGTTTCCCAAGACTTGGTAAAGATGATGGAGAGCGGTCTAGCAATGACCTCTGCCAGTTCCCTCAGCACCCGTGGGTGCATCCCATCTGGACCCATGGATTTATGGATGTCCAGATTGCTCAACTGGTCTTTAACCCATTCCTCATCGACTAAGGCAAACCGCTCCGTTGACCTATCTTCATCTGAGGTCTCAGCAGTACAGGGCTCTTCAGGACTGCCTCCGGCAGAGTAGACAGAGACAAAGAAGGCATTCAGTAACTCTGCCATCTCTGTATCTTCTGTCACCAGGGCACCCGTCCCGTTCATCAGCGGGCCTACATTGCCTCTGGTGTTAGTTTTATCTGCCATGTATTTGAAAAAGCTCTTTCTGCTGTCCTTGACCCTTCTCGTCAGCTTTAATTCCAAGGAGGCCTTAGTCATCCTAGCAGCTTTCCTACATCCTCTAGCAGCACCCTTATATTCTTCCCAAGCGGCCAGCCCTTCCTTCCATGACCTGTAAACTCTTCTCTTCCACTTCAGCATACCCAGCAATTCCCTATTTAGCCACGCAGGTCTCCTGACCCTCTTCCTTGACTTCCTACGTGTCAGGATGCTCTGATCTTGAGCTCGGAAAAAGCAGTCCTTGAATGTCAACCAACTATCTTGGGCCCCTTCACCTTCAAGCAGCCTAGCCCATGGGATTTCCCCTAGCAATTGCTTGAAGAGGCCAAAGTTTGCCCTGCTAAAGTCCAGGGTTGCGATTCTACTTGCTATTCTACTGGCCCTACCACACAAGATCCTGAATTCTACCATCTCGTGGTCGCTGCAACCAAGGCAGCCCTCAACCTTCACTGCTTCGATCAGACTCTCCTTGTTAGTGAGGATGAGATCCAGCAATGCTCCCCTCCTGGTTGGCTCATCCACCATTTGCATGAGGAAGTTATCATCCATACACTGGAGGAACCTCCTGGACTGCGGCTGGGTTGCCGAGCAGTCCTTCCAGCAAACATCAGGGAAGTTAAAATCCCCCACGACGACCACGGCCTGTGACTGTGAGGCCGCTCTCAGCTGCCTGTAGAAGGCCTCGTCAACTTCCTCACCCTGATCCAGTGGCCTGTAACAGACCCCCACAACAGTATCGCCCCTGCCAGCCTGCCCCTTAATTCTCACCCACAGACTCTCGACTCGCTCATCATCTGTCCCCGGACAGAACTCAACGCATTGTAGCTGCTCTCACACGTAAAGAGCAACCCCACCACCCCGCCTGGCTGGCCTGTCTTTCCTGAAAAGGACATAGCCCTCCATGACTATATTCCAGTCATGTGAGCTGTCCCACCACGTTTTTAACTCATCTTCAGATGCAGTCCACAGATACAGTCCCTTTAGATACAACAGGTTTTACCGGAGTCTTCCTTTTCTTTATGAAAAACAGCATGCCAATGAGTAACTCTCTCAGCATTGTTTTTAGACTTCAAATGACATCAGAGAGTATCAGCAATTTATTGGGCTGCAGATGACAGCAACATGTTTAAGCAGAGGAGTTTTGCAAAACTTACTTGCATTCAAAACAAAATAAAAAAACGAAGTCTTTCAGTGCTTCTATACACAAAGCAAAATATCCGAGTGTAAATCGGGCACAGCTATCCAGTGCTGTCTGTGTATCGTTATCAGTCAGCATTACAACAACAAAAGTAATAATAATAAAAGTCAGTCTTAGGCAATCAATCCCAAGCAAGAATTTTTTTGTACTAAAGAATATTACTGTCTCTCTTACAATAGCTACAGGACTTGAGAGCAAGGAGAATAACAGAAGACATCAATTCCCACAGCAGTGAAGTATATAAAATATTTACTACTCAGGGAGTGAGACAGGAAAGATAAAGCTACAAAGCAGGGTCTAGACATATAATCTTCATTGCAGCTCCACTGTCTCTTTTTTCACCTAATCAGAGAACAGGCATGAACAGAAGAGCCCTGCTTAGAACCTAAACCTAATTTCCAACCTTACAACTAAAGTAGTTCTCTATCTGATTGAGATGTCCTAGCTCTGCCTCATGCAAGCAAAAGTCTCAAGTCTCTGAAAGTCTGCCTTGTGAGTAACTAAGTTTTTATTGAGCAGAAACTGGAACAGGTGACATCAGCACAGTTACTTATTAACTTACAGTGTAAAGGAAAATCATGAAAACGAACATGAGAACACTGCCACAGTATCAACACAGTATTAGAATCAACTGTCTCACACACGGTAAAGCAAAACCAAGTCCCATGTTTCAAATGAAGTACAGGGTGGTCTATCTCAGCTGCAGATAACGTTCATTCCTGTTTCACTTTTCTGAAGCTGAGCAGTATTCTTTTATTGTTTACATGAGCTTAAAGGCTTTTCTTTCCTAAAAGCCTCTGTGTGGGAAGACTGGTCCCACATAAACTCCAACACACAAGCCTGATAGCGCTGGCTTCACACAGGGGTGAAGGCCTTTCCTCTTCCAAGGCCGCCTTCCAGCTGGACAGCAGGAAAAGGCCACAGCGAGGCCGAACCCCCCCCCCGTGACAAACTGCTTTGTGGGGGACATCAAAGGGCAAACGGGGAACCCCTCGAGCTTCGCAGAGAGAACAGGGGAGAGTGCCTCTGAGGGGCCATAGGGAGGGTTCTTCAGAGGAGATAAGGGAGCAGATGCCGCGGTTGAGGGGGACAGGTCCATGGGACGCGGGGACACACAGGGGCCTGCGGGCACCCCGAGGGCTGAAGCGAGCCCGTGTGGGGCCGGAACAGGCCCGGGCGTTGACCCTCCCCACCACTCCGTACCTGGGGCCGCCTCCATCGCGGCGTTACCGGTTTCCAGGCAACCGGCCCCGCGGCGCCCAGGAAGGCAGCTCGGCTGGGCTGGCGCGGAGGTGTGCGCGCATGCGCAGGTCTGTGGGTCCGGCAGCGGGGAGCGGCACCGGTTACCCCAGCGGGGCTAAGGGGCAGCCGCGGTTCCGATTCCGCCGTGCACTGAGGGAGCGGTCGGTTTGCTTGTTTGTTGTTTTTAAGTAACAACTCTTTTGGGCACAGTTGCGGTCATTTCAAAACTCAGCTGGAAAATGAGGCGAATTCGCTGAACTTATCGCCCACACGACGGAGCAAGTGCTCCCGCGCTCCGGTCGGTTGCGGCGGTATTTCCCCAGAAGGCAGAGCTCGGTGTCCGTATCTCCACATACACCTGTGTGCACATTACATACATACATATATATATAAACAGTTTCTGAAGTTGGCAGCTGGTATTTGCCTGGCTTTGCGGCGGAGGGTGCAGGTGTCGGTGAGAGGCGGGCGGGCTCTGAGGGGTCGGGAGGGAGGGGACTGCAGCCGGCGGCAGCGCCCTGCCCTGGGACAGGTGCCACGGGAAGGGGAGGGCCTGTGGGCGCGGCGGGGTGGCCTGGCGCGACAGACCCGGGCGGACAGAGGAGGCCGCGCCATGGCCCCGCGCGGGCGCTGCCGGTGGGCGCTGTTGCTGGCCTGGCTGCCGGCCGGTGAGTGGGGCCAGAGTGGCGGCGGGGGCACGGCACCCTTCGGGGACCCACCCGCCCCGGGGCATGCCTGTGGCAGCGGGGACCGGAAGGCGCCCTCGGGTTTTGCCCGGGGTTAACGTGGTGGGGAGCGATGGCGGCCCCACGGTGAGGGAAGGGGGCGGCCTGGTCCGGGCGGGCGTTGTTTGCCCCACGGTGACCTACGCCGCCGGGCGGAGGAGCGGGGTTGTCCCGAGCTCAGTTACAAAAGCCCTCCGGAGAGAGTTTCGTTACCCCAGAGGTGCGGCTACCTGCTGTCCTAGGAGGAAGTGGCCGCATGCTTCCTGGCAGCCTCCGGTGTCTTTGTGTGCGGCCAGTCTGGTTTGGACCTGAGCACAAGAGGCAAACACGGAGGGGTTGCCCTCTGGCTTGTCACAACCCCCCACCTCAGCCTCTATGGGCATCTGGTGTGGCTGCAGTGCTGCCGTAGCTGGTGGGTACATGTATGGAGAACAGGAGCTCACGGTCGTGTCCACAGGCGGCCTTCAGCAAGCAGAATCCTTTCTGGCAAGCTTTGCAAGTTGCCCAACAGCTTCTAATCTCCTGTAGGAAATAAAATGGTCGGTTTGCTTCTTGGATGCCTGGGTCTTTGCTGGTGATTTAGATTTAAAACTAAAAGTTAGCTTTGAAACCAAAACCAACGTTGAGTTTTCCACAGAGAACCAGTAAAAGAGGCAAAGAAATACATAGGTGTGCTTGTTGATTGTGTTGCCTGACAGCTGCGTTTCTCATGATGTTCTGGCTAAAATTTGGCTTCAGTGGCTCTGAAGGTTAGTGTCTTCAATGCAGAGCCATAGGCCTGAGATAGCTGTAACTTTCAAGGTTGGTAGTGTCCGGGTTTGCTCTTTCCAGCCAGGATAGCAGCATGTGGTGGAGTAATGCAGTCCAAATTTAGAAACCAGCCTTAACGCCACAACTTTTCAGTTTTCTTGGAGGAGGTTGGTATGAAACATCAGATGTGCATTGACATCAGACTGTCCTCCGGTGGGAACAGTAGGTTTTTAACCTCTTTAGAAAAGAAGGAACTTAATCTTTCAACTCTTTTTCAGAACAGGTTTCTGTAAGTAAAAAGCATATAGTGATTTTAAGTATTTTATTTTCTCTGGAAGGAGGCTGCTGTAGGAAACCACTGGATAACCTGCTATGTTTACATGAGCCTCAACAGGTCAGATAGAATTCATATGGGAATTAATTTGACTGACAAGGAGATCAAGGTTTTGCCAGCCTTGAGAGTTTGATTTTGGATTGACTTCTTGTGGTTTCCCACAGTAAGGTCCTGTGGGTCAGCTATTTCACAATGAAAGCTGAAACAAGATCTGTTGAAGCACAGTGCTCTTAAATAAGAGCAACTGTAAACTGTAAACACCCATTACTAGTATGGAACTTTGCTACAGCATTGTAAAAACTAGAGATCCTTTGGGGTTTTAGAGGTTTGCATGGCTCTAGTACTTCTGTGTGTATGTATATTTTATTTCCCAGAAAAGCCTTGAACTCAGAATTTACCGTGGTCCTCTCTGTTTATGTGGTATTTTTAAGGCAAATGAGTTCACTCTGCCTGTGCTTTTGAGTTGGCTAACCAGCTGCCCATTTCAAACCAAAACCTGAGCAAGTACTGCATTTAGAACGTCCTGCTGCAGACTTACTTGTGGCATTAGTGTTGCACCTCTGCAGCATGTTTTCCACCAGGTGGAAGCTGGGTGAGCCTGGAATGTACTGCAGAGGTACAGCCTAAGAGGATGCTAAAAGAATGATGCTTGCAGTTGCAATCCAGAGGTTATTACATACTTCCATGTTCTCTTGCACTCATCCTGAAACATGGAATATAGGGAAAATCTTTGAATAGCAACAAAACCCCAAGTGTTGGTTCATGGAGACCCTTTCAGTTGGTACCTTCCAAGCATCTCCATTTCCTTCCCTCCTTTCCTGCTGCTGTGTTCCTCAGTTAAGAATCAACTAGCATAGCACTGCAACCCCTCACTGTTCTCCTGGGTATATTCCAGAGAGGGCATCACACATTTGCTCCGCACTGTTTGTATTCCCTTATCAAAGGCAGCTGGTGATAACTTCGCTATTGTTAATGACAAGCACAACTTACTGTATTATCAAAGTTTAAATAAGATATAGATGTCTCTGAGTGTGGCTAAAGTAAAGCATAGCTTACGAGAAACTTTGTACAACTTTCTTCAGTGGTTGCAGCTGCTTGGATGTGTGGTGTCCTGAACTAGTAGAAAACAGATTAACTGGTATTACAGCCCAAAAGTTGTATTGTCTTATTCCTGGTCATATTCTGATGACTGTCTTAGCAAGACCGTGATAACATTTATTTGGTGTTTTTATGAAGTGATGGCACTGCAGAACTTTTCTGTTTAGGATGACAAGTCACAGCAATCCCATCCTGTGTGCTTCTGGGCCTAATGAATGATCTTCCTCAGCTTGGAGGGACAGTTTTCCTCCTGCAGAAGGAGAACACAGGTTCATGTGCTACATACTGGCTGTTAATAGTTGCTTTGGAGAAAATAATTCAGTCCATAAGGCAGGGCAGTGCAGCTGGCTCAAACTGCCTTCTGTCAGGGAAAGATGGGACTCACATTCTAACCAGAGTTTGTAACTGATGAGGTCCATAGCTGCAGGTCCTGGATGACGCCGAGGGAGATATACTTTGATTGTTGGTCTGGTGCAGTGAAAACTGTGATGTAAGGTCTGTTCTTGCCAGCTGACCACCTTCTGTGTTCTCATTTGCAGGTTGCCTCTCCCTCCTGGTGACAGTGCAGGATGCCGAGCGTTATACCACCTTATTTGCCACTGTCATCCTCAAGTGTGACTATAGCACCTCAGCTCAGCTGCAAGATGTGGTGGTGACCTGGCGCTTCAAATCCTTCTGCAAGGACCCCATCTTTGACTACTACTCAGCCTGTAAGTGTTAGGTTTGTCTTCCAAGGACTACTGCAACAAATGGACAGGAAGGGAAAGGTAGACTTCCTGGATAATACAGGTTTTGACCTCTTCCTGCCCACAAACCAGGTCAGGTGGTGGTATTTCCCTGTGCTCCAAGAAAAAATGTCTGTGATTTCCTTTGCAATGTTAAGGCTTTCTGATATGATGTAGAAATCCCAGTCAGAGCAGCATATTTGTCCTCCTTGTCATCAATTCAGATGGCAGAGAGTTTCAGCCATGTCGGACACATGTCAGTCTTGCCATCTGCCTCATGCTTCAGCATGTTTCAAAGCAAGGGTCCTGCAACAAGTGGACTTCATTTTTCCATGGTGGACCCCATGGTTGGAGCTAGATACCAGTGACCAGATGTTACTGATTTTAGAAAGTATAAGAAACATGTGCATTTTGGAGGGCAGAAAGACTTCTAAATCGCAACATCTAGTACTGGTGGCAGCACTTTCATGTGTGGACATTCTGGTGTGTGCAGCCTTAATTCAGGAGTTTTTAGGATGGTTCTTAAAAGATGGTATGCAAGACTGTATTCTGGGGTGTGTCAAACACCATATAACCAGACAGTCAAAAGAGGTTATGATCTCACTATATTTAACATTAGCGTGGCCTCACATTGAGTATTGTGTGCAGTTCTGGGCTTCACAGTTTAAGAAGAATGTTAAGATATTTGAATGCAACCAGAGGACGGCAACAAAGCTGGTGAAAGGGCTGGAAAGCATGTCCTGTGAGAAACAGCTGAGGACTTCAGGTTTGTCTAGTTCAGACAAAAGGAGTCTGAGGGGCAACCTTACTGCTCTTTGCATCTTCCTGGGCAGAGAAGTTGGAGAGGGAGGCGCTGAGCTCTTCTCCCTGGTATCCAGTGATAGGATGTGTGGGAATGGTTCAAAGCTGTGTCAGGGGAGGTTCAGGCTTGACATCAGGAAATATTTCTTTGGCTTCCTAGAGAGGTGGTGAATGTCCCAAGCCTGCCACTGTTTAAAAGACTTTTGGACAATGCCCTTAATAATATGCTTTAACTTTTAATCAGCCCTGAAGTGGTCAAGCAGTCGGACTTAGATGACCATTGCAGGTCCCTTCCAACTGAAGTATTCCATTTTTTATAAACCCTGCAGTCTGTTTAAGGTGGCCAGCCTTAGATTAACTGCACACTTAAGAATGAGCTCAGAGTGGGGAGCCTGGACTTGTTTGGTGTCTTGGTGCCCAAACTCTCCTTTATGCAGTCTGGATGGTTTGGGTAGTGCTCTACAGGCTAGTCCACAAGCAGGTGAGTCCCTGGCTTTGCTAATCCCAGGATAATGTGAGTACTTTGGGCCCAGGCTTAAGCTAATAGCCTCCAGCAGGGACAGAAAACATAAAGGTCACAGAGTTTGCATAGTTGGGTCTGTTCTTCCTGATCCATTGGAGATATAGCAATGGAGGAGCCTTTGACAAGCTTTGTCTTCTGTTTTCGTTTCAAGCCCTTTACAGACAGTGCTGACTGTATTAGTTATCTCCACAAATCTCAGCTCCCAAATACCTGGAATTTCAATGTTAGTTTATATTGTGAGTCTGCCATAGGAGTATTGCACAAAAAATGCCTACGGTCATCCTTAGCTGGAGTCAGATGATGGATTCTTTTCTGTCTTTATGAGCTCCGCAATATCTAATGGGATACAGCAGGGAAAGGGAGACAATCCCTACAGCAGTTCACTTATGTCTGGAGATTTTGTTTGGTAAATAATCACACTTTTGTTTTAGTTCCAGTACTCCTGGGAGTCTTACGACTTTTTTTCCTTGCAGTTTATCTTCATACTGGGAGCTGCCCTCCAGCCTACCACCATTAGCTTCTTTCTACTGTTCTTTCAGTTGTGAGTAAGGGAGGCATCTCCTCTGCAGCTCCTGTATTCTTAAAAGCTGTCGTTCCAGTGGCTGTACCTCTCTCTGCTTTTGAGTACTTCAAAGCAACTTTTCTTTGCTGGTCTGAAACCGTGCTTGCTTTTACTAAACCAAGCAAATGCACATATGCATGCAAGAGTTTTCTCTACTTTTCAAGGGGATAGAAATTGGTCCTTTGAAATAACTTTTGGCATCTTACTTAATATGTGTTTGTAGCATACCAGGCTGGTTTAAATCTTCACCAGGACCCATCTACTGACTGCAATGACAGCCAGCGAAAGGTGCGCATTGTCATCCAGAAATATGGGCAGAAGGAACCCATGCTGGGTGTTGACTATCAGCAACGAAAGATCACCATTCAGAACCGTAAGTGACTTCACCTCCAGGCAGGCAGCAAACTCAGTAACTATCCAGTATCTGGGCCTGTTAAATGAAGAGAAACATAATCAGGGCTGATGTCATCTGTAGCTTCCACATTCTGTGAGGTGGCAGTGGAATAAGAGCTGTGAAGGGCTGGCCTGAGGGTATTGACATATTACAAACTAAGGCTGAGCTGAGGATACCTGAGCATTTTGCTGAAGAGCACAGAAGTAAGCTAAGGAGCCCAAAGGCTAGAAAACAGTTACTTTTATGAAGTACTGCATAATTGTCCAGGTGTATTATATGCCTTGGGCTGTCCCTGGAATAATAGCTGTTACTCCTGCCAGAAGAGTTCTGGGATGGCTGGCCTAACAGACAGTGATTTGTGTTCCAAAACCTAGGGCTGGCAGTTGGCAGCACCCAGTTATCTTAACATCCATCATCCAACAGCGTGTTGGTTATTTCACTCCACAGAGAACTAGTCCCGCTTCTAAGTAGGGTTTGCCTTCCAGCAACACAAAGAAAAAAGGGACTAGCAGTTAATGCTGTTTACAGTTCTTAATGGACTCAAATGGGATTGTTTGAAGGTGATGTCTATGCTTGGGAAGAGGGGAGATGCAGTACTGTATGTCACCTGTAGGCAGAAAGCCCTCTTAGAGTGAGGCCTGAAAGTAGTGTCTGTCAGTGCCAGTCCACTGATCTCTCAGTCCCTCTCCCACAGGGGCAGACCTTGTCATCAGTGAGGTCATGTGGTGGGACCATGGCGTGTACTACTGCACTGTGGAAGCTCCAGGAGATACCTCAGGTGATATGGACAAAGAAGTTAAGCTGATTGTTCTCCGTAAGTGCCTGTGTTTTTCTGCCTGGGTGGTAGATACCTCCTATTCTCTTCCTCCCCATCCCAAGATGTCTCCAGCAGAGGAGAGGTGCTCAGTAATTTGCTGTGCCCAGGTACATCAGCATCCTCTTTCTCTCTCTGTTTTTCCCACAGACTGGCTGACAGTAATCCTCATCGTTCTCGGTGGCCTTCTCCTCTTTCTGCTGATTGGAGTATGCTGGTGCCAGTGCTGCCCCCAGTATTGCTGCTGCCACATCCCGTGTGTCTGCTGCCCTACCCGGTGCTGCTGTAATGAGGAAGGTGAGGTTCAAGCAAATGTGTGTCCATTCACAGCTTCTGTCAAGACAAAAGCTTGACTGGGATCTTGCTGAGGTCCACTTTCTCCCTCCAGTTCAGCATCCATATAGACGGAGATATTTCTTTGGCAATGTGACCACTATGACCAGCTTATCTGAGTTTAGAGGATGGGAGCTAGGATACATGGAGCCCATCTTGCTACTCTGTGTCCTACTTTAAGAAGTTGCTCCTCACTCACACCTTCCTTCCAACTTCTCTCATGTCATCCAGGGCACCTTCAGCTCCCTTGTATGAGTAGCTTAGGACTTTTCTCCCTTGTCTTGTGGTTCATACGCCTGTGCATGTGAGGAGGGCAAGCAAATGCCGTGGTATTACTCTTCAAAGCAGCCTAACCTACAGGTGTGTTGCTCTGAGAGGACTTTACGTGAAAAGTTGAATTTTCTATTTGCATGCTATTTCAGAACTGCTCCTTCCACAAGAAAAAGGTTTTGTTTGGTTTTATTTGGGGAAGGAAATGAGAAGAAAGAAAGGAGAAAGATGGTCTCTCTTGGTGGTCAACCATGCAAATGCATTCTGAGGTTCTGAGGGTCAAGAGAAACTTTCTCGTTTGTCATTTTTAGCAGTAATAAAGATTCTGCAGCAAGACCCTGTTCTCTTAATAAGGCCACCATTTTAATTTTGGCTGCTAAGGTCATAGAACCTCTGTGTTCCTGTAACTGACAGTTAGCAGCAACACAAAGCAGACTAGCCCCTCTGCAGCTTACACAAACTGACAGCAACAAATTGCAAAAAATACATTTATTTATCACTGAAATAACCAGGTTCTTCCCCAAATGCTACAAGAAAGGGATTTATGAACAAGGAGCTCTGTTTCTGATTTCCTTTTACCTGCAAAAGAGCTAATTGCTGTCCCTTGGGTGTTTATAAGTTGCGACAGTTTTAGATTTAAGCTTAATTTGCTTAGCCTTTGCAAAAAGCAAACAGAGCATCCCTCTCATTGCTAAAAACAAAACACTTTCGGGGGGCTCTGCAGGCTGTTGAGTGAAATGTGTAGTGTTGAGGAGGCTATGGAAATTTGACAGAAAATTAGTCACCATGAAGGGAGAGAGAAGTGATGGAGATGAAAGACACATATCTCCAGACTTCTAGTTCTCATCAAAAAAGGGATTCAGAATATGTGTGAACTCCTTTTTGGTTTTCTGTGCTGTAGGACATGATAGCGTACTCCAGACTGCTTGTTGTCTTTCCTGTCTCCTGTTGAGGATAGGTAGGAGGGATTCTTATGCGGTTTCCTGCTCATGAGTAAAGTACAGACAAGTCCAGACTCCTTGACTGACTGCTGGATTCTTTGGCTTTAATTTTTATTCCAGCTGCCTCCCATCTTTATCTGGTTTGCAAGGGATCCTCGTGCCTGCTCCCCTCTTCTAGTGCACCTTCCCTTCATCCTGCTTTTGACTTACTTTTTTGTAAGTCACCCAAGAACGATTGATACACGGGTACCTTAAAAAACAGTCCTGAGGAATAACAGTTCCATACAGCTGAAGAGAAGGCAGAAATCCTAAAGAAAGTCTCATGAGTTATAGTGTGAGCCAGATATGGGTGATTTCTTCCCAATTACTGGCCACTAGAGGGTAGCCTGGATCTGCTGAACAGTCATTGATGCCATCGAGGCAATATAATTCTGGGTGGTTTAAGTCAGGTCATTAACTAACATGATTTTGAACCTAGCAATAAAACAAGTGCATTGTCTGGGTAATTCGGAATTGGTGTACAGAAATACTAAACATTTCCCATGGAAAGCTCTTGAGAAAAGCTCACCAGGGTAAATGACCAGGGTATGACCTCCTTCTGTTCTATTAGTTTCTTTTCTACTGTGGACTTCTTCCACTAATGAATTGATGCAAAATAGGGTATACTTCCACCTGGGTCTGACTAGGTTGGAAAACAGTGACTTTTTTTTTATATATAATTGGATAAATGGTCCAGCAGCTATAAAGTCTGTCAAAGGTGAAGAACAACCTCTCTCAGCAGGGAGTAAGTGGAGGGAACAACATGACATTCTGCCAGAGTCTTACAGCAGTAGGTAGGTATAGGTATTAATTTATAAGTATCAGTTTTGGAATTCGGGTGAATCTGACTTTCCACAGATAAATGCGTGCACTTTAAAAAAGAGATTTGTAACTTTACTCCTGTTTTTTCAGGTAGGGGCCAGAGTATATATCGGTTCAAACTGGAAGGCAAAGTATCTGTGGAAGGAAGAAAGGATGAAGGTAGTGAAGGAGGTCTGAGGGTAATACTGCACTTGTCCAGCTGTAGGAAGAGATCAGAGAATTACAGGGACAGGATGACTTTGGTTGTAGTGACTGTCTTCATACCCTAAGGAGGGGAACCCTAAAGTAGATTTGCCCACAGTTGCTGAGCCTTTCACTCCTTAGGCAAAGACTGTGGTTAGCAGGTTCTAGGACATTCTCAAGCTGATAACTGGAGGAACAGGAGAAAAAGAGAGAAGGCCTTTTCCTTCTTTTTATCCTTTTTCATTTACCTCTTTCTCTCTTCCTCTAAGTGTGAAACCAAAACTGGAGGGAAATCCCCTGGGGAAGAAAAAAATAACAATACAAATTTGACATAAAATGCTTGAAAGCTGCTACTTCAGGCCACACAGCTTTGAAGAAAAATCAAAGTATTAAGATTAAACCCCCCAAAATTTCCAGCTTCGCAATTCACTCTGGTTGGAGCCAGGCTGGGGAAGGGGATTTTAGAATGGAGAATGAAGTGGAGCTGCATGAAATGTGGGGAAAGGGAAGGATGTGTTGAGGGGCACGGTCGGTCACTGTTTTGCTACAAGGGGTGCTCTGTATTCAGTGAACCAGCTAAAGGAGGACATTTTTAATAACTGGAGTGCTACCTGAAATGCTCAGTCCCAAAGAGCGTGCAGGCTAAATGCTGCCTGCTGCAGTTGAACCCAAGGGACAGAATTAACTGGAGCTTAGCTGTAGCCTGGTTTCTCAAGGAAAGCAGTCAACCCGTCTGTCTATCCCCTATCTCTTTCCTTCCAGTAGCTTTTAATTTCATCAGCCAGATTTATCAGAGGGGTAAAAGTCTCAAAGGCAATTACACTCCAATCTGTCTGCTGAACTGAATAGCCAGGAATGTTCTGTTCCTGCCTAACCAGAGAAGAGACTGCAGTAAAAGCCTGCCACTTCTAAAACTCCAGAGGAGGCATATAAAAGAAATCTTGCAAATTCTCTGTTGCCAAAAACCTTCAGCCAGTAATGACAGACAAACCATGTACAGTCAGGCTTTGCAAGGCCTGAGACTTGCAGAATTTACTTGCTCAGAAACTTAAGTTTTGATTGTCTGTGCTAGAAGTAAGTTTCTGTAAGGTGGTTTTAGGTATTCCCAAAAAAGAAGCAGTGGTAAGTGAAGACAGGGATGGTGAGGTTGTCTGTAGAGGAAGTGAGATGGAAATGCTGTGAAAAGCGAAGTGGAATTGGAGCCTGACCCCATGAGTAGGGGTCTGCTGTTAGCACTAGTGGGCAATCTGGGGAAGGCAAATTTCCACTGAGTTTGCTTGTTTGGCACACTGGCCATTGATGTTGAGAACAGGAAACTCAGTTTGTTCACCATTTTGACCCTACTTTCATAATTCTAGCAGTCATGCTGAGGTAAACTACAGAGACAAGAGTGGTTGAAAGACTGAAAAGGGAAAAGCTGGACAGTACATATCTGAGTGCCCTGTTTGTGGAACAGAGAAGAAATGATGGAGCATGGTGTGGAAAGTATGATCTGGGCAGAGCCTACATGAAGGTGGCAAAACAAAGATCATGTTTAGCTTAAAGCCAAAAGGGGAAAGGACCAATGATGAGCTGAAAGGGTTTTAAGAGAGAGAAAACTATAGCCTTGCTGTATGAAACATTATTTCCTGCCTTTCCACAACTGTACTCATAATGACAGGGTAGGTGGAAGTCTTACCTTTGGTTATGTGCTGTGTACTTTAATCATAGTGCCATTTGTCCCCAGTTGCTGGAACTGTACCCTGAATGTCAGGTAGTAACCCTTTTCTTCTGTTTTATGTATCTTTTTGAAGCTGTACAACTTTGTATTGGCATTCTGTGTACTCTGCCTGTCTGGGGTGGAAACAGCTTTTCATTCTATGAATTTCCTATATCTGATCACATCCAAAGGCTACAGTCTTTATACAAAATAGTGCTCTCTGGACAGCTACTGTAAGCTTTCTTCTTCTTCATTTACAGCACTGGAACGGTACCGGATCATGAAGCAGGCTCAGGCACTTGCACCTTGGATATCACCCAACATGTTCTACAGAGGTGGTGACAGGAACTCACAACTTTCCTCTTACCAGCTGAACCCTCTACTGCAAAGAGGTGAGACCGGAGGTGTTATTTCAGAGGCAAATGGGGTGAGAAACAGGTAGCTTTTGGGGGAGGTTCAGCAGTGAAGCTTTAAGTCTCTCTATTACAAGAGAAAGAAGTTCCTAGCATGACTGCGTGTCCTAGCGTGACAGCTGTGCTACATCTGAGTGTACTATAGACTTGCCTGGGTGAATGAATACGGTCTAAGTCATCTTAAGTGTCTTGCTAGGCTCAGTGCTTGGTGAAGTAGTTTAATGCTAACTAAAGCGTATCTGTGCGACACCCTAGTGACTGCAGGGTAAATATACCCAGCTTATCTTGCTTCATGTGGTAGAGGAGGGTACTGTTTCTTTGTTCTGCTGTACTGGTCACGGTCAACTCCTTATAGCCAAAATTGGCATGACAAGTGAGCTGCAGTTTGTTTGAGTTCTTATCAAATGTCTAGTCTTCAAATGATTAAGGGCAAACTGCCTTCTGTGCAATAGATCTAGCCAGCATGCAGCAAAAAATGAAGAACTCTTTAATACGCCAGGCAGAATTTTCCAGTTGTTCTGCCTCAGAATCACTTATATTTGTGTATTTGTAACTTTAATAGAGGAGAGAAGACAGAGTCTCTGGAATCCCAGAGAAATAAGCAATAAATAACTTATTACCAGTAATATTATTTAATCACCCAAGGAAAATATGGGACTCTAACATAGTAACTTCTCAAATAATTGTAACATATTTTTCATCTAAAATTAAGCTTTTGATCACGATACAGCACTCACAGATCTCCTTTGTGTCTGATGAGTCTTAACTGTTGTTTGAAGAAACAGTTTGCAAACATCTTGCATATTAGATTCAAGATGTCTGAGTATATACTTTTTTAGCCCCCTAATTAATTATACAGTTACCATTTTTCCTAGTTAGGGCACCAGTTTTTCTTAAGGAGATCTGGTGACTGAGCTACCATGATTTAAGACATTTAAGGAAATCCATGCTGGCAGAAAATGGGCGAGTACATTCCTCAGCAGTTTCTTAGCCCATGTTTTCCACAGTCCTTGAATCTCCTGTGCTTAAGGTTCCCTTAAATTTGTTTCAAGTCAGCTTTTTACAGACGCTGGCTAGAAGGGACCTCTAAGGTCATCAGGGCCTACCTCTTGCTCAGAGCAGGACTATCACCAACCTGTCACATTAGCTGTGGCTTTGCCCAGACGAGGACACATGTGCTGTAGGACTGATTTCTTACCTTTGCTGCCCAAGAGACAGATCATGCTGCAGCTTACTAGTACTGTTCTTTGCACCTTACCTTGTGTGGTCTGGATGTGCTGGTTGTAGTGCCTGAAACTTGTGCAGCTCTTGCATTGAGGAGGAGTAGGAGAAGAGAGGCTCAAAAGGGACTCAGCCAGGATCATTGTTATTGTTTCCCCTTGACTTTCTGTGTGCTTCTGTGCTTTTATCCTTAGATGTGTCTCTGCAGAACAGTCTTCCACTGGTGCAGCCACAAGCTCAGCTTTCTGCTAACAAGGGTGTTTTGGACTATCTGGAGTCTGAAATCCAAAACCTTAACATGTCACAGCTCCAGCCACCCTCCCACCAGCGGCAGGCTGTGCAGCCCAGCCTGCTGTCCTCCCTGAGCTCTGAGATCATGCCACCTCTCACAGATCATATCTCCATCCATGGAAGCAGCAACTCTTCACGGCCACAGAGAGCTGCCCGCACCCTCAGAACCTGGGACTATGCAGAAGAGGACAAGAGGGAAAACCGGAGGTGGCCCTTGCCTTCCAGTGGGGGTTCTCATTCCAGCTACAGCCGGGAGCCCTGGGACAGGCAGCAAGAGGACCATCCTCAGAGGCAGAGAGATGGCTACAGTGGCAGGCCCCTGCACTCCAGACGGGATGCGTCACCCCCACGCCAGGCTGACAGGGGCAGGGGCAGCAGCAGCAGCTGCAGTTTCTATCCAGAGGAGGCCAAGGAGCGCTCCAGCCATCATCGTGGTGGCAGGCAGGAGCCCGCAGGGAGGCGAGACTACCAGCACAACACTAGCAGAAGCAATAGCTCAGGTCAGCGGCGGCACAGCTACTCTCCTCCCTCTCGCCGAGGGTCATGGAGCTCTTCAGAAGAGCAAGTTCATCTCCCGGTGACAAACCGCAGGCGGCGGTCCCGGTCTCGGGAATGGCCAGAAGATAAACCCCCCAGTTACCGCTCCTTAGAAATCATCCCAGGTCAGGACAAGAAGCACAAAGGCAGGGCAGGGCCACGCTCGGTGAGTCAGCTGCCTTTTCACTTTCTCATCTAAGGGAAGGGATGGGTTTTGGGGAGTAAAAGTGAATGTTACTTTCTGCAGCCTGTTGGCTTTTCAAACAGAGGGTAAGGAGCACTGGGTGCCCTATGCAGCTTGCCTATGAAGAGACATGTTGCATGGCTATAGTGTATTCAGGGGCAAAGTAAGCAGTCAAAGCAGGTTCCTTATCACATCCCACACTGTGTGACATGTTATACACTCTCACTCCTGTCCCCACCTACAGTCACTTGGGGCTCTATGTATGTGTTGGTGTTAGAATAGCTGTTCTGACACTCTCGGGGGTAGAAAGCACTTCCAAGTAGGCAGCAATACTGAGTATCCTCTACAACCCTCTCTGGTGTTGGTTTACTTCTGATGTCTTTTAATATGTGCATGATTCTCCTATTATCTCCTATATCACCAATATTTAATTTCTGTAATACGTTGGTGATATTTCTAAGATGGTTCATATGGGAAAGTGTCCAGTTAAGATGCCTGAAGCTACATGATACAGACTTGAGATCATGAGACACTGTAGTGGTGAGAAATATGCCATCCTCCAAGCCAGGTGGAAGAGGATGGCTCCTGAGAGCTGAGCATGAATTATATGGGCAATGAACAGCTATTTTTCACAACTCATATTGTCAGTTTATACTGGAACTAGATTTCAGGTAGCAACCTAAGTGCGAGAAGCTTCATACCCAATTGCTAGTCTCAAAGTTAGACAGTGTATTCTGCCTTTAAAAATTAAGGGGTTTTAAAATGAAAAAATGTTAAGTGTCCCTTCTCACATATGTGCAGAATTTTACTCGGTGGGAGTCTTCTCAGAGGGCTGTATTTTGCACATTACCATTTTCCCTTCCAAGTTTTGAAAGGAATTGCAGTCCTAGTCCCAGCTCGGATGTGTATGTATATAATGGGTTTGTTATGGTGATCAGAGCAGGTAGAAAACATAATACTTCCATTCATCCTTCCTTGTTCCTGAACATTTTCTTTTCTCTTCCAGGACAGAGGAAGTTCCCACAGTGGAAGAAGCATAGTCATTTAATGGCAGTAATGAAAGAACTAAGATTCTCACCGGACTCCTCTTAGATCCTTCTACTCTGTAGGTTGGGGTGCTGCTCTTGATTGAACAGACAACCAACAAAAAAACCCAAAAACCAGATAAAGCAGCTACCCCTCAGACTTACAGCTCCAAAGGATCTTCATCTAGTGCCCAGGAAAGCAAAACATAACCCATTTTTGTTCTTCCTGTGATTTGGAAACTTAGGTTTGCAATGGACTATGGTCTGTTGGAAACAGCAGGTATTTTTGAGCAAATGGTATATCCCCAGTCTTTAAAGAGAGATACCAGTTGTCTTTGTTAGGTGCCCTGACACTGCAAGGAGCCCACTCCATAGAATGCTGGTCCTTTGCACACTGGTTACTGGAGAAGGGCTACAATGATTAAAATTATGAATAGAATAATTTGGAAGCGGCCTCCAGAGGTCACCTGATCCGGTCCCCTGGGAGTTTGGTGTAGGAAGGCACAGCATCTCCTTTGTGAGGTCCTCTGTTGTGCTTCAGGATATCTAATGTTTGGTGCTTCTGCTGGGCTGCTCAGCATAGCTGGGGCAGTTACTTCCTTTTCTCTCCCGAACACAAGGATCGCTGAGTTGGAAGGATGTTTGACTGCCTTAATAAGGGCTCACTAGCCTGTCTGCAAATTACCAGCTTATCTGCCTTACACTGACTGAAACAACCTGTCCTACATTAAGTTTACACCTTAGGGCCTTAAAAGTCACTTATTTTAGCCTTTAAACCAGGCTTGAATTTATTTGTAAACTTAAAGGGCTAAATTGACCAAGGTCTGGCCATCTCTACAGGAGCTGAGCTTGCTCAGTACTGACTACTGTCCCTCACGCTGTGGACCAGAATTTCCTTCAACTTTAGGAAGCATGGCTTTGGTGGATGTATCTTGCCTAAGCCATGTACTCTTCCATTTTATATTCTCCCTTTGGTCTCTGTGCCATGTATCATATACATGGGGTGGTATAAAGGGCTCTGAAAATGTTTTACAGTCACCTTTTTTATTAATATCCTTGATCCTTACCCTGACACTTTAACCAACTCCACATATGTTGTGCATCTGATGTGTAGCTAGACTGCAGGAATTTCTCATCTCTCACCTCGCAGATAGAACAGAGAATTTCTTTATACTCTTAAGACCAGTTGTGAAGGAGAAGAACTTGCCATTTATCCTTGATGTGATTAATCCACTGTTTTCATTTAAAATGTGCTGGAAAAGGAGAAGCTCTCTGGGTGCTGGCTGCTTCCACAGGAAACTGGTTTGCCAAGGACACTTCTTAAGATTCAAGAGACTCAACTGTTGTCAGGGAGCTTTTGGAGCATCTTGTGCATTATTTTGTAACCCAGAGGCACTAGAGATCGGCCATTATCAATGACTGCATTTCCTAGCTTATTTCCCAGCCAGTGCCACGTGGGACACTTGCTACTATTTGGTCTTTAATGTCCTAATTACTGATGTGCTTATACTTTCCCCTGGAAGACTGACAGGGAGAGGTTTTCACTGTGCCCACTTCCTTTTTTTTCTTTTCTTTGGACAGTGATGAGAAGCATCATGCTTGGAGCAAATGCTCTACAAAGACTGCTCATTTTCCTACAGTTTCTTGGCTGGCAGTGCTTATATCTAACTGTGTGTATGGAGGTAAAACAGGAGGACCCACTAGCTTCTCTGGTTGACTTTGTTTCAGAACCAGAGGCTTACTTTTGAAGACAGGGGGGCTGTTCACCAGCAGTTGATGGCTAGCACAAATAAAAATGAGTGGAAACTCCGAAGTTTGAATTCAAGAATGGCAGACTGTATTAAGTGTAGTCCTTGTCTCCATTAAACCCAAACTATGAATAATGTGACTGACCCATGAGTTACATCTGAAATACAGGGAATTAAGTGTGTTCTCCAAACTTGCAAAGCCGGTATCACTCTTGAATCTGGTTCTCAGTCACTGGCTTTCAATCATTTTTGTTCTTATTTATGGCATGCTGAAGACTTTATGCACCCTGTCTTTTATGACGTGCTAGTATTTTTGTTAGTTAGGAGGAGTTTATGGCAATGGAATGACAGAAAATAATACGGACTCCTTCTCCCAAAACTAGCATTCTGTTCTGACTTTAGCATTACCCTGTGGCAGTTTTTAGCAGAACCCAGGGCCCTGCAGATTCTACCCTTGGAAGCTAAATTGGTGGTTTGGAATTTGACTCACTGCTTATGCTTCCAATAGGTCCATGCATCATGCAGAACAACTTCCTGTCATCTCAACCCATCCCAAATGTCCAGGTTTCAGGGAAGGGCTGCCCCTCTCTCTGTCAAGAGTAGAGGGTATTGAGACATCAGGTGAGATCCCAAGATGTGTTCACTTTCCTTAGCATTCAGCTGTGTATAAGCCAACATATATCCACCAAGTTTTCCCAAGAGCAAGAACTCCCTCACACAGCAAGAAAACTCTTGAAGATGACTGTGTGTAACAGTAGAAGCTGTTGAAGCTTGCTGTAGAATGAGCACACTAACTGTAGAGGTTGGGCTTTTATCCAAATGCTGTGAAGGAGCCCTCCATCTTTATTTGTTTGTCTAGTCTCCATCATTGAGTTAGCATGACCAATTGTAGATTGTGCTAACTTAATTTGTGCTGGGTGAAGTCTGAAGAGTTTTTTCTTTATCATAACGGAGCTCCTCTTCAGTCACCTTGTTCATGTTTATAGAAACATTAAACAAACCTCTTCTGGGAAAATTGATTGTATCTCAGTCTTACCTTCTTAAATTGTGTTAGAAGTAGATTAGGTTATGCAGCAAGGAAGCAGAAATGGTACCAGGTTTACGGGTTTACACAGACCCACTGCGGTTTGTAAAACATCAGTTAGTAGGCTGTGAAATAACGACAAAGGAAATGTATATATTTGTGCTTTACAAGTGCAAGCAGACAGAAAAGTGGGAAAGAAAAAATTATTATGTTTCACATATGGGAGTTATTGCCATTCTAGACTTTTAATCTTCCTGTCATGCACTTAAAGGGATATACCTTACCCCCCAGAATGAACTTTCTGTCTCAGATAAAGTGCCTTGATGGCCAGTGGAGTTGCCCTAATTTAAAATGAGTATGTAATGGTTAAGTAACCATGCCACGTGGGCAGGCAGATAAGGATGCCCGTGCCGCTCCTTGTCAGCTGCTTTCCACCTCAGACCAGAGATTCGTAAGAGAGATAAAAGATCATGTAATTTTAATTTGATTAAGAAAGGACTTGCAATATCTGGCTTTCTTGCTTATTTGCAGAACCTGCTATCATTCTGGAATGCCATTCCAGGAATGGAGGGCAAGGGCTGCTTCTTGTGCAATCATTGATCTGGTCTTGGCAAGTGCCTGTTTGGCAGTAGAAAGTGCTGAAAAGCCCAGTTGCTATCTCTGGGATTGTATTCATGATAGCACTAGCTAAGGTTAGGCTAACTTCAGGTCAGGGGAAGTTACCTGGTGTGATACCAACCACAATGCAAAGCTATTCAGTGGTATGTATTACTACATAGGGTAGCTAAGCCCCCTTTGTGTTACTACCTCCAGCAGCACATCAGTTTAAAATACCCACTTAATATGCTTAGTGCCTTCCATTTGTCGACCTGACACAGGATATGACACTTGAGGTTGTATTAAATTAACTTCCACAAGTAGTGACTGCTTCTTGCTATTTCTGCTAAGTTTAATGCCTGTAATGTACCTTGTGCTGGTCTTCTGAATATTATTCCATCTATAAAAGCAGACGGTAAGTGTGCAGATTCTTTTCAATGACTGTCAAATGTATAATTAAAATATAAGAGAACTTTCAACTAGTTGTTCTTGTGTGTTCTTCCTAGACCATAAATTGCTTTCTAGTGTTTGCACCATAAGTAGAACTGAAAATTCTCTGTTCTTACTTCTGGAATTAACCTTGTTGTATGTTGGTAAGAATTTTCTGTTATTTTTTAGAACGAAAATGCAGAATGGTTTGATTGTATGGGGGATTTTTTTGTTGTTCATGTTTTGGGATAATTTTTTCTTTTTTTTCTAAGAAAGAATGTAGTTTGAATAAATACCAAGAGAATGGAAAAATGTCTGGGGAACCATTGGCAGCCCTCTAATGATGTGACCAGCTGTAACAATCGCTGACTTGGTTGCCATGTCTGTAAAACAAGGACACTTACTCTTTGGTGCTAAAGTAGTCTGAACTCCATGAGAAGAAAAGTCTTCTAGAAATTTTGATTGATTGATAAATGAAGATGCTGGTTGAGCTTTTCACACTTTCCACATGTGACAGTGACCTAGTAAGTAAATGGCTAACATAAGAATGGAGGTCTGTTTGGTCTCACACAGTAGGCTTAATTTATGTCTCATGTCCTCCCCACTCCCCTTAGCTACTGCCCTATTGGACTCAGTGTTGGAGCCTTTCTATCTCTTCCCCCTACTGCTCAGTGGTTGCACGTGCCAAATACAGATGGTCAGCCAGACTGAAATGCCAACGGGCACTTGGAACTTGAGCTATGGGAAAACATGTGCTACAGTGGCAATGCAGCCGCTTTCTAACCGGGACCAGGGAGCCTGGGGAGAAGCTATCATAGAATAGTTTGGGTTGTAAGGGACTTCTAGTGATCATCTCATCCATTCTGCCCCTGCCTTGGGCAGGGGTGTCTTTGACTAGATCGGGTAGGTCAAAGCCCCATCCAATCTGACACTTGAACACTTTCAATAACAGGGTTATTGGGCAACCTGTTCCAGTGTCTCACTACCCTTATCATAAAGAACTCTTCTTTATATTGGATTTAAATCTACCCTCTTTCAGTTTAAAACTGCCTCCCCTTGTCCTGTCACTAAGGCCTTGGTAAAAAAGCCTTTGTCTTATATTCCCCCTTTATTGAAAGTCTGCCTTAAGGTTTCCCTGGAGCCTTCCCTTCTCCAGGATAAGTCACACCAATTTTTTAAGCCTTTCATAAAACAGGAGCCCATCCAGCCCTCTGATCATTTTTTTTGTGGCACTCTGGACTCACCCTAATAGGCCCATGTCTTTCTTGAGCTGGGGGCCCTGGAGCTGGATGCTCCCCCTCGTAGGTGTTGATAGCTGGCTCAGATATGTGCCCGTCCTGGTGGTGTGTGCAAAAAGACTTGCACATGAGGAAAATAAATAAAGAAATGTGAGCTGGGTGCATACTTACCCCTGTGCACTGTTTGTCAATGCATTTGTTGCACTAGCCACAAGTAAGTTCCAACTGTCAGAGCAGTGTGGTTAGGGCACAAGCCTTCCCATAGAAACAGTGTGAGGAAAATGGAGCCCAGCTCTAGCTATTATTAATATGGAATTTGGTCAGCTTATGAAAGGGGCCTCTATGACACGGTTGACTGCAAAAGTAGGGGACTCAGTGACCCAGGAGCTGCCTTCCATGTCTCTTAGGCTCAGGTCAGACTGACCATTACCAAATCTCAAAACCAGGTCCAGAGTCCTCCACAGCTTCTTCCCTGTCCCACTGAGTTGGATGTGTTTGCAGAAGAGCAAATGGGGAAACAAAGCAGGACCTTTGACCCCCTGCTATGGCTATATTAGCTCTGCATAAATGACAGTGTCTCAGGTGAGCATCTACCTCAGCTTTGGCCTGACAAAGAGAGAAAGCAGGACAGGTAAGAGTGGAACTCTGATCTGGGTGCTATTGACTTTGTGACAGTTGTATTTAGGATATAGAGAAGTGAGTGGAGGTGATCTTCTATCTTGCCCCAATTTTGCCTTATTTTTTATTGCAAGCCAAAGCGTGGGCCTTTCTCACGCTACATAGCCAAGGATACTGCTGAAATGGAGGAGGGTGGGAGTGCTTGTGGTGACCTGGACTGAAGGTGAGTGATGGATGCTCTATAAGACACTCATAGGATGGTCAAGCCAATGATAGGGATTGCAGAGTTTCAGTGTTGGAAGATACATAACCTTTTCTTAGCTGCCTTCAAAACAGGGACTACAGGCTCTAAAGCAGGTAAGATCAACTCTTTCTTTATGTTCTTGGGAAGCAAATTCATATCTTTTGTCTACAGAGGGAAACACTGACTCTAGGATTAAAAATCAAGGAAGGCTGGTAATGGAGCAACTGCTGCTTTCAACAAATGTTTAGTGAATGGAGTGGTAGCTTTTGGAGGTAATCTGTATGTAGAAGGAAATCAAAGATGGAAGCAAATTTCCATACTGCAGGAGAAGGAGCCTTGACTTGCAGCTACCTGGCACAGGATTTAGCAAAGCAGTCACATGTAATAAACTTGTAGCCTTTTTTGCCATAGCAGTTCCTAGCACTGCAGTGTTTTCTTCATGTTGCTCTGACTGATCCAGCCTTCTAACTCAGGGTATAAACTTTAACTTCTAATCACGTTTTTAAGTGCAGTATTTTTGAAACACTTGTTTAGATGTAATGCCATATTTTTAATGTACCAAGTACCAATTTTTGAAACGCCTGTTTAGATGTAATGCCATCTTTTTAATGTACCAATTTTCAAGAGTTCCTCCAATTCTGACTGTTTTAATAAAGTAAAGGAGCTGAAGTTTGCATTCCCTTTTGAGAATTTCTTCTGCCTCCTATCTGCTTCCTTAACCCCAGTGCAGAAAAGACAGAGAACCTAGTTGGGTTGTTGGGTCTCTCCCCAACTACAGCAAGACAAAATAGTCAGATCACTGGGTCACCAAGATGATCATTGTAGGTAATGCACTCACTGGCACTATGTTCTTTAGAGCAATTTACCAAATTTAAAAATAAATAAATACATAAATAAGAAACCACAAACAAATAGATCCCTTTTTGTGATTTTTTCAGTTGTGCTTTTGTGTAGAGTAACTCAATTCTGACCTCTACCAGTTTTCATGTTTTGCTCATGTGCTGGAACAAGGCATATTAGCTCTTGTATAAAAAAAGTAGCTTGAACTGCTGCATATTTCTTGGAGCTCTGAAAGCTATCATTCATTGTGGACATTTGTGATTTTACAAATAAAAGGATGCTTTCATTTTTATATTATCTTTCCCTCGTTTCTTCAGAGGAAATGCACTGTGGTCTTTCCTGTTCTCTTCTTCATTTATTGGTTAGGTTTGTAGCAAAAACCTGGTGTTTAACTTGTAATGCTTTATTTCTCTGAAAACAAACAAAATATTTTATGCTGATTCCAGCAGGTCTCTTGGTGTAGAGAGCAGAACTGCTACTTCAAATCATGCTGCAATCCAGGGCATTGGTGATAGCTCTGATTCTGCTCCTTAGCACGACTCTCCCTGGTGAGTCTAAAAAGCTTTTCTGTCTGCCTGAGACAAGGCTCAGCTCTAAGGGTGCTCACTTGCTTTAGAGAAGTCTAACTCATCCATAAAGTAGGACTCAAGCCCAATAGCACAGTTCAAGACCATAAATGTACAGTGCTTGGCAGTGTGAAACAAGTTGGCAAGGGTCTGGCATGAAAATTGTCCATACCTTGTGCAAGGCCATGTAAGGCCTATGACCTAGTGATAAGGTGCTGATGGATGTTGTGAGAGCAAATACTGGGGGAGGCCTGAACTTCAGAATTCAAGTCTTTTCCCATTGTGCTTGGGGTAAGATATCAGAGACACAAGTGGCTGGAGAAGCTTCATGTTTTTCTGCTTCCTGTTTCTCAGAAGTGCATTCAAAGTCCATCTTTGAGAAAGACCGTCGTGACTGGTTGGTCATCCCTGATGCAATTGCAGCTTACATCTATGAAGCTGTGAACAAGGTGTCCCCTAAAGTTGGTCAGTTCTTGGCAGATGCTGCCCAGACTCCAGCAGTTGTTGTGACCAGGTATGGAAACTAACACTTCAATAGCCATGGATAAACAGGGAGAGAAAGCAGTGGGACAAAGAACAGATTAATCATATATCTATATGGGGAGACCCAATGAACCAGCAACCTGGTGTGACCACAGTGGGAGTGGGGTGCTGGAAGGTGGAGTGGGACAATATGGTTTCATGTGAAAGTGCAAGCTCTTCACAGGGATGCACACTGAATATGGCAATGCTTGTGCAGATAGCAACTACTGCTCTCTATACATGGGTTGTGAGGGAGGGGGCCACTGCCTGGTGGGGGATCAGTCCCCCTGGGAGGGTGCCAGGAAACACTGCTGTCACTGAATGCAAATCACAGAATTCACTCTAGCTGTGAATGCATATTCCTCAAAGAAGGGGAACAAGTTTCCTCCCAAAAGCAAAAGCATGATGACCCTAGAGATACAGTTCTATGTCACTCATGGCAAACACATACTGCCTAGTTCTGTATTCTGAGGAAAACCCCTCTAGGACTGCTGACAAGCTTTGCACTCTCAGTGACAGGCAATGCGATAACTAGCATCACGTATTTGTGTATCTTACCACATGTACTGTCATCTCCTGCAGGAACTTCCTCATCAGAGAAACAACTAAACTCAGTATACTGGCTGAACAGCTGGTGGAAAAAGTAAAGAACCTGTGGTACACAAAAGTCCTAGGCTACTAGCCAGATGAAGACAAGTCAGTGTTTCTTCATGTGAGTTGGTAACACCCTACAGTCTCCTCCTTCCCCCTGCCCCTACTATGGACCAAAAGATCATCCAGCAAGACAGAATTGATGCTCCTCTTAATGCCACTAGAGGAAACACAGCTTCAAAGACTAAAGGATGGAAGGCATCTGCTGAAAGCTCTTTTGAAAACAACCCCACAGCTGGGCATAGGGACGGCAATGAGATTGTACTGCTCTTCTGTAGCCAAATCCTGAGAATTAATTCCTCCTGAATGGCTTGGCCATTGTCCCTCTAATAAAAAAATGTTGGTTGTTACACTTCCTTAAGTTTCCTCTTTGTACTGACTGTTATAAAACCACATTCATCTTGGCATCCCATTCTGCTGAGAATGTAGGTGTGATTAGTAAGTTGTTTCAAAGCTAGCAGACCCTAACTGTCCAGGCATTTTTAACCTAACATCAGAAAGACCATGAAATTTAAGTCCTACTGATTGTGCTCCTTAATTAGGTAAGAATTAAGTAGAATTCAGATCATTTGGGGAAACAAGTGCCAGTAGACTGAACTGTCCATCAGTCTTGGGAAGAATACAAGAATGTTGTGAGACAATGCAGGAATGTAACTACACAGGCTAAGGTCCATTTGGAATTAAACCTCACAAGCGATTCTTCAAGTACAATGGTAGCAAAAGGAAGACTAGGGAGAATGTGGGACTGCTGCTCCATGAGACTGGTGCCCTGCTGACGAAGGATACAGAGAAAGCAGAGTTAGTGAACACCTTCTTTGCTTCAGTCTTTACTGCCAAGGCCAGCCCTCAGGAATTCCAGACCCTGAAGACAAGAAAGTCTGGAGAAAGTAAAACTTTCCCTTGGTCAAGGTTTGAATTAGAGATCATTTAGGCAAACCTGATACCCACAAATCCATGTGCCCTAATGGGATGCACCCATGATTGCTGATGGAACTGGTAGATGTTATTGCTAAGCCATTATCCATTACCTTTGAAAGGTCATGAAGAACAGGAGAGGTACTTGAGAACTGGAGGAAAGCCAGTGTCACTTCAGTCTTCAAAAAGGGAAAGGAGTACTTAGGAAACTACAGGCCTGTCAGCCTCACCTCCATCCCTGGGAAGGTGATAGAACAGCTCATCCTGGATATCATCTCTAAGCATGTAGAGGAAAAGAAGGTTATCAGAAGTAGTCAACAAGGATTTACCACAGGGAAATCATGCCTGACCAATCTATGCCAAACTAATGCCTTCTAAGATGGAAAAACTGGCTGAGTAAATCAGGGGAGAGCAGTGGATGCTGTCTACCTTGATATCAGCAAGGCTTTCGACACTGTCTTGCATAACATACTCATAGGTAAGCTGAGGAAGTGGTACCCTTGACACCCACCATTAAGATATTTGTAGGCATTGATAAGATCCCCTCTCAGTCATCTTTTCTCCAGGCTAAACAGGACCAGCTCTGTCTATGTAGGCAATCAGAATAAAATCAGTGCCGCCACACACAGCACAGCATCAAGCTCTTCCATCTCTGATCACTTCACCACTTCTGCAGAGCTCTTTTGCACATTTATTTATTGCTGCCTGTTTTTTTCAGACTGCCTACACTTCCTTGGTCACACGCATATGTATTAAGCAAATGCGCAGGTATTTAGAAGGCTTAGAAAAGCACGGTTTGAGCTGATGAAAGCATTTACCACATGAAAAAGCCAGGATCTTTAGCTCTTTCTGCCACAGAGATGATTTCCTACCTGCTTGTTTTGCATCTGTCTGATCAGTCCTTCTCTTTTCCAAAATACAACCCTTGTTGGAGAAGATCAGCAGCTTAAATCTCCTCTTGACGCAGGCACGAATTCAACATTCCAAATTTTCTCAGGTTAGAGCTTGGGTTTTTGGCATTTCAAAAGTGTTTCTTTCTGAAAGCTTTCTGAAGGTCATGAGTCACATGAAAGAGCCTGAATGTGCCCTTAAGAGTTTGTCCTGGAAATTTTTTCTCCAATATTTTCAAACTATTTGCATGCACTGCCAAAAAAGCTAGGAAAAAAAAACCTGGGAAGTGTAATGGGCTCATGTTGTATTTTGAGCCTGATGTGTGAATTCATTGATGCAACCCTGCAGCATTTCTGTACTGCATCACTACACAGCTGGAACAGAACTGTACCTGCTATGAATTTCATGCTAAAACTTAATACAGTTTTGGTATTTTGTTAAATGCACTTAAATATAACCCTCTGTTCTTCTACTATGTAACCTCCAGAAAAATCCAAGCTAGGCACATGCTGATGAGGTGCTCGATATCTGACTGATTTTAACATACAGGCAAAACTGAATCAGCCCACAGATCTCTGTATTTGTATGGAATCTCCTGATCATGTAGTTATCTATGTATTTTTATGCTTTTAAAGAAGGAAGCAGAAAACCTTCAAGATGGCTAATCTGTTGTACGATCTACAATTTACGGCAACCTATGGAGAGCAAAGTAGACAACCTCCCACTGCCACTTCTGACCCTGATGATACTGGCACCACCCTTTGTTGTGTTCCTTAAAGGCAGATTCTAGCAGCTGAGACAGCATTCAGGCTGGGATCAGCTGGGGGGGGGGGGTGGGGTGCAAAAAAGCATTTTATCCCAAAATGGGCAAACTCATGGGACAGGTAATGAGGGGTGCATACATTTTACTGACAAAGTTAAAATATTTCACATCTATTCCTACATTTTCAGTAGTAATAATCAGCTTAAACTGTAATTTCTTTGTAAAATAGGGATGGAAATCACTTCCCTGGTGATGTCTGTGCTTGAGTGCTTCTCGATTCTTGCCGAGTCTTTGTAAGTGAAGCATTCACTTCAGTGAGATTCATGTCACAGAAGCTTTCGTTGTGAGTAATCGTCACTTACTCAGCAGCTTTGGGAAAGCTTGTGGTGTAACCAGTTCAACCAAGTTCATTGAAATGAAGTCTTAAGAAATGTCAGGTTTTTGTTTCTGAGATGGATGAATAACACCTTATTGTGTTCCTGACTTCTGCAATAACACCCTTTCTCAAAAAAGTATTTATTATGGTGAATACTTTGCACCATTTTCAGTGGCTCAGAGTGCTGATGGCAAAAACTGTTTGCTTGTACACTTCTAGTTCCCCTCACCTCTTACTTTAACACTCTAGAAGAATCATCAATTAATACTGAAGAACAAAGGCCTCAGACTCTGTGCTGCTCTGAGCAGTGATGCCTGTCCTTGTCAAGAAGCAGCCCAAGTCCTTCAATAGCAGAAACCCCAATGCAAGGTGTTTTCTCCATCCAAGGAGAGGTGTCAATGACTGTGAGGGTGATGAGGCACTGGCACAGGGTGTCCAGAGAAGCTGTGGCTGCCCCATCCCTGGCAGCGTTCAAGGCCAGGCTGGACGGGGCTTGGAGCAACCTGGTCTAGTGGAAGGTGTCCCCTGCCTGTGGCAGGGGGCTGGAACTGGATGAGCTTTAAGGTCCCTTCCAACCTATACCGTTCTGTGATTGTGTGACTGGGAATAGTCATAGAAACAGAACCATAGAATGGTTTGGGTTGGAAAGGACCTTAAGATCATCCAGTTCCAATCCCCTGACATGGGGGGTTATTTATTATTCCTGCGTAGTGTCTGAAATTTATGGCTGGTAGTAACATCTGAAGAGCTATGCAGTAATTTCCCTTCCACACAAACATTTCTATCTACAGGTACTGTATTTTGTTATCTTCTAGCGATGGCAGCACATGGCTGTACTGTGCAAGCAGGGACCGAGAGGTGCTGCCGTCTCCGTGAGGGAGTGGACCAAAGATGGTGGATGCCCAGCGAGGTGCAGAGCTGACACTACCTTCTTGCCGCTGGTCCTGAGCTTCCCACATACTTTTAGCCGAGAAGCTTCTTCGGATTTTAAACGTAAACACCAAAATCACAAAAGAGACTGTGAGAGGGGGTATCTGTGTGTACGTGGTGCAAATAACGACAACTGCCACCCACAAAAAGCAGGTGGCTCCCAGGGAGGCCGGGCGGTGGCCGAAGGAGGAAAGCAGCCATCAACCCTCCAGGAGGGACGGGGCCAGGAGAAGCGTCTCAGGCGGGGCCGCTGAGAGTGGCCGGGGCGAGGGGATGGAAAGCTCCGGCCGGGGGGCAGCGCGGTGCCGGCGAGGCGCGGGTGGGTGCAGCAAGCCTTGCGTGCCAGGCGGCCCGCCGGCGGGCGGCAGAGATCAGTCAGCGTCTGTCTCCCTTTCGCTCACAGCCCGCGGCCTCCGCCGCCGCGGCGAGCACTGACTCAGAGCGACACCGCCGCCGCGGCCCGCTTCGCACGCGATGCCGTCGGCCTCCCCCCTACCCCACCACCATCACCAGCCCCCGCCTCGCTCCCGGCCCCGCTCCCAGCCGCGCCCGCGGCACTCCTGCCCCTCTCAGGGCCGGGACAGCGGCACGGGCGGGAGCAGCCCTGGAGCGCAGGTAGGCTCTGGCAGCGGGCCGGGAGCCTCCCCTCGGCCGGGTACCGCAGGGCTCGCCCGGGAAGGCCAAGGAGATCCCCAGCCCTACCTGGGGCGAATCGGGGAGGCTAGCAAGGGTGCTTGGGGGAAAGGAGGAGCTGTTTTATAGCAATAAACCCACCTTTTGGTGCGGCTGGGACAGGCAAATCACTTCCTCTCAATCAGGGAAGGCTCAGCATAGAGCCTGTGGAAGGGGAAGGGTGTTTTGGCATGGGCTGAGTTAGGGTTGAGGGGCTGCAGCTGGGTGGTGTTGGGTGGGGATGGTTTGAGTGCTGTTTCGGTAACGGGTAGAAAGACGTTTTTCGCTTATGTTTGCTGCTTACCTGTGTGCTTACCAGCGAGGGAGGAGTTCCTGTAGCTTGGGTGTATAATGGCTATACTGTGCTTGCAGACCCTTGGTTTTTGGGGGGAGTAATATTGTGTCAAACCAGCTGATGCCATGTTACAGAATTCTTCTTTACACTTAGATGTGGGGATGATATGGAACTAGGCCACTTCCCAAAAAAAAAAAAAAAAAAAAAACCAAACAGAAAAAAAGAAAGAAAAAAAAACAAACAAAAAACTTTAAGAAGCATTCTGGGTTTGCTGTTCAAAAACCTAGAAAACTGCAGCACAAATGCAAGCTCCTGCCTTGACAGGAGCTGTGATAAAACTGCTTCATTAAAGTTTTCCAGTGTCATAAATGTGGTGTTTGAACGTGCGCCACAGCGCTGGGACCATCCATATTGCATGGGAGTTGCTCACTGCTGTATCTGGAAACAGTTTATAAGAGAAGTTGCTAAGAACCCCAAGTTGCACTGCTTACTGAAGATCTTAACAGCAGAATAAATACT